CTAACTGCGCGGACTTGTAATAAATGATTGGATTAAATTAAATGGAGACATTCCTCTCTGCAAGTCATTACCATTAAATTGGTTCTTTAGTAAATGGTAATCTGATTGGCTGAGCTTCCTAAGATACGATAATCCAATGGAACCTAATTAGCTACACATTAATTAGATACACTATAAGTGCTAACTAATTAAGCAGATTGACATGCTATATGATTATAGGGGCCTCTGGATATTAGAAATAAAAAGACTAGCTATCAACTTTAAACCCATTTTATGCGCTTGTTGAATGACAGAATTTCAAAATCCCTCTCTCTCGTCCTTTAATTAATTACCCCCAAATAGCAGAAAAGTGAGAGCTCCATTTTAATTTTGGATGCCTTGTTAAGACCTAGAAGCAAACAAGCTTTAACATTCATGAATAGTAAGTAGTTCGAATTAGATTTTTCTATACGCGTGCTTACTAAAAAAAAGGAGCCGCTTTCTCTTAATAGCAAATGGAAACCTAATTGAAGATAAGACACAGAGAATATCCATTACGTTGCTCAAGCTCAAAATGAACCACAACACTTTATTTTATTACGGAGCCCTCAATGCAATGTTTAGAATCCTAAAGCATTGGGCTCCGCAGCCCAAATAACCAGGAGATCAATGCAAACTTTGAAAAAATGAGATCCTAGTTCTGGCACCATTCATGGGGCATTATTTATGACACCCAGAGCGACTATTCCAAAAACCCACAAGCTTTAGAACCGATGACTTTTAGGATCCTCTTGATCTTATCACCTTTCTTAGGCTTACCCCTCGTAGCCACGCTCGCGTCCAGAAGCTTGGCAAGGTGAAGAGCAGAAATCTTCTCTTCAAGATGCTCAGGCAAATCATAAACCTTGTTCTGGTACTTGCCAGTCCCTCTCTTGCTCCACAACTCAAGCATAGCAACCAGATGGCTTGTACAAGACCAAGACCGCATCGGATGAGGGTACTCCGTGTTGCTCAACACGATGATGCTTGAGTTGGTCTCAGGAATGACCCATTCGTCGGTTTGAAGATCGAGGATGGTGCGCTTCATGCCACAGAAGCATTGCTCCACTCCAGCATCTATGTTTCTGTGAAGGCCCAATATTGGATCCATGTTGTAAATAATGGCATTGTTCGTCATCTTCTTCACGTGTTTAACCACATCGATATTGTCTCGTTTGATATTGGTCACGATTATGTCTGCCTCAGGAACAACATCGTCGAGGATCTTAATAACTTCGAAACCTCCTAAGAGAGCTCGAAGGGCATGGCTGGAATCATCCGTATACACAACCACGTTAGCTCCAGCCAGCTTAAGTGCGATAGCACATCCCTTGCTAGCATCATCATATGCACACACAACAGCTTTTTTCCCAGGAATCGTCATGTTGGCGGATCTCTTTATCCCATCAAGAACAGCGTAGCGGCAACCGTACAAGTTAATGAACTGTTAACACAAACATAGAATACGTCAGATATATAATGTTGAGTTTTGCAAAAGTAGCAACAAGATAGGTCTAAGGTTGCTTATGTTGGCCCAAAAAAAAAAAAGAGTCTAAGGCTGCTTATGAAAAGCCAAACACAGCACAGTTATTGGTAAGAGATCTAAACTGACAACTCCGCACAAAAACAGAGAGCACAATTACTGGTACGGAATAGCCTAGGTAAGAGATAGAAAAAGTTTCTTTATCATAAAATAAGCCGGGAATAGGGTTTAATATCTCAAGAAAATTAAATAAAAAAAGATTTCTTGAAATCATCAGATCATTTTGAAGTTCCAAGAAGCCTCATTACAAAAGATTTTAATTTTTTAATTATCAAATTGTCCTTATTTCTTTTTTAAACATGTATTAAGCAGTTGTTAACAACTGAAAGAGCAGTTATTAACAACTTAAGGTGTAACAGTTAACAACTATCATGACAGGTATTAATAACATTTTTTTAGCACATCACAAAAATGAAATGTATGGTTGTCAATATCTACCACGATAGTTGTTAATCATTACACTTTAAGTTGTTAATAATTGCATTCTTGTTTGTCAATGTATATTTTTAAAAAAAATAAGGGTAATTTGGTAATTAAACAAATAAAATCTCTTCTTGGAACTTCAGAATAATTTATGATTTTAAAAGTTTTTTTGTATTTAATTCTCTTCTGTGAGACTTTACTGTAATTTTTCTTTAATATTTTCTCTTTCCACGTGTGAATTAGGAGTATTATCTAGCGTATTATCTAGATAATACCCAAAGCTCAGGTAAAAATAAAAAGTGAACATTTTTTGAAGTAAAAAAAAAAAAGAAGACAACATTAAACAAGGGGTAAATTTTGACCATATGGAATATGGAGGACTGTAACAAACAAAGTACAGCACGTACAAACTTGAAAGGTTCAGACTACTCATCATTAGATTTGAAGAATTGACTCTAAAGTTAATGAATTTGAAATCTGAAATGGAAACTGAACTATATATGGTCACTGATATTAATTACCTCGCTCATTGTAACAGAGTGGCTGACATTGATGGCAGGGAACAAGAGCGTTCCATTAGCTTGCATCTGGTAAAGCCTCTCAGCAGCGTCGGCTGTCTCCACAGAGACACCAACGAGTCTGTCCTTCATCCTGTGGTACTTCCTGGGATCAGTCTTCAACCCATCCCTGATGATGCTGAGAACAGTCTGGAACTCATAGTCATTGGTAGAAGAGGGGTCTGGCAACTGACCAGTCTGGACATAAATGTCTTCAGCTTTCACACCCTCACGGATCAAAAGGGTAGAGTCCCCACCGTAGTCAACAATCAGATCGGGCCCACCGCCAGGACCCCAATTGAGGGCGCGCTCGGTGCACCACTAATACTCCTCAGGAGTCTCCCCCTCCCAAGCGAAGACGGAGGCACTGTCACGGGCGATGGCGGCAGCCGCGCGATCCTGAACGGAACAGATGTTGGAGGAGCACCAGCGAACTTCGGCTCCAAGAGCAGTTAGAGTTTCAATGAAGACGGCGGCTTGATAGTTCACGGGGAGGGAAAAGGTGATTCTGACGCCTTCGAAAGGCTGATAAGGCCCGAACTCATCAAGGCAAGCCATGAGACTGGGCATTTCCACCTCGGCGCGCTCGATCTCGAGGCGGCCAAAGTCTGCCTGAGAGAGGTTCTTGACCTTGTATTCACGGCCACCGGTGGTTTTTTGAGCTTCCAAGGCCATGGCGTTGAAGAGTTTCTCTGTGTGGCAACAGAAGAATAGGCAGAGCTGTACAACAGGAAGAAGAAGGTGTGGTGGCCTTGCTTCAGAAGTGGAGCTGGGTATTTATAGCGTGCCGTGGAATGATTGAATAAAATGAAGAATGGGGTTCGAATGCTCAGCAGATTCTGAGTAGGTGTAGGCTGCTGCTCATCAAAGCAACAGGCACCTCACACCAACATCTAGGCATTTTAAACAACCGGGTGTAGGTGGTATACATGCCGAAAAGGTTCACCAAATTCATGCAGAAAAAAGGTCGTAAAGCAATCACATTCAAATATTCAAAAACTTTTCCTAATTAACTAATTTAAAGAGATTAATGAAGTTACTAAATTACTTAATTATAGTATATATTACATGATCTCTCTAAAATATTTAAGTAGATCATTATATTATATATTAATTTTTTAAATGAGGCAATTTAGTCTGGAGAAAATTAATTGATAAATACAAATAGTTTAAAGTAATTTAGGGCTTGTTTGGTTTTGTTTTCTGTTTTTTTGTTTTCAAAATAATTTTATAAAACTGTTTTTTAAAACAAATTTTGAGGAAAAAAATAAAAGAACATGTTTGGATGATTATTTTTAAAAACAATAAAATATAAAAACTTGTTTGGATGATGAATTTTAAAAATTATTTTTAAAATCAACTTAAAAGTTTAAAATTAATTCCTATTATAATGTAAACTAATTGGATAAAGCTGGTAAAAAAAATAATTTAATAAAAAATCAAATAGAATAACCAATAAATAACACAAAAATGATTTACTACAAATAATAACATGGTTAAAATTTAAATGGACATTGTTTTAAACATAGTGTCAAAAATAATATCTAATCATGTCAACATATAATTCATAGAATTGTAATGAGTCAACCACATTCTACTAGAAATTTGATCACGATATGCTGACATCTCTGCTACACTTTAATCAGATATTCTCGACAAGTTGTTTAGATTGTAACTTGTATTTTCTACATTTGTATTTCCCATCAAATTTTGAATTTCTGAATTTTTGTTTACGGTCAAATCCTCCACCCATGTCAGATCCATATTCTCCCATTCTATAAACAACAAATCATGTCAACTATAACTCAGAACTTCCCAACGCGTAATCTCGATTTTTGGAAATGGAACATCTATGTGTAGTGCAAAGAATAGCTCCTTTCTATGAATATAAGTAATGAGAGAATATTCTGCACAAGAAAAATGAACCAATGACGTTCCATTAAACAATATAGTGCTGAGTAAAGAATTACTCAAAAAAAAATGTTGCAGATGACTCCAAAATGAAGAAAATTAACTATATCTCCACACTAGAACTATATGATAGTATATTGCTATAATCATTATGTGTAACTTGTTAGCAACCTATCTGCCCAAGAGTATGCTTCCTACAAGAAACAGAGACGCCCGCCTAGCAGCATCTGCCTTTATTGGCATGCCCTTTATTAGTTCTTCTGCCTGTTCGATTAGTCCAGCTTGGCCTTGCACTTCAACCACCCAAGTATAGTATTTAAATGATGGTTTGATCTCATATTTATCTATCATTACTGTAAAATAGTCCCCAGCTTTATCAACTTCGCATCTGTCATAAAAATCTTCCAATCCTCCTCCAGAAGACCTCTATGACTACAAGCCAGTAAAGCACCAATATGCAACACTATAAGGCTAAAAATGACAATTTTTCATGTCATAAAATGTATTTGAAGCCTCTCTACCATAGCCACACGCTGCCAATCCAGTTATAAACTGTCCACATAATAACATTCTTAACAAGCATTTCATTAGAAATTTTGATTGAGCAATCAATGCACCTACACCTTGAATACATGTCAATAAGAGAAGTACCCAATGAAATTGTTAGAGGCAATCCACTCCTGGCAATTACTACATGAACCCAAATCCACAATTCCCATGCACCCAGGATAGAAATCATAGATATAACACTTGGCATAATAACCCCATCCGGTTTGACATCCTCCTTTGATTGCATTTGCTGAAAAAGGACCAGAGATTTGAAAACAAAATCATTCTTCACAACGCAAGAAATCATAGAGGACCAAGAAACCCTTTATGCGGCATTTCATCGAACAGCTTGAGCGCGACGTCTACGAAGCCACAACCTCTGTAAAACTTAATCAATGTATTCTGAGAACAAATATCATTACAAAGTACCCAGCATTAGAGTAGCAAGGAAGATGAGGGTTAGAGCAAGGAACAAAAACATACCATATACACAAAAACACCCTAAATGAAACAGATCAAATTTTAGTTCAAAACCCCACTAAATTAATCTAAAAAAAGAGATAGTAGAGGCCGAGGACTCACTGATTGAGGACTAAGCAGGGAGAAAGGAGGGATTAGAGGCGGCAAGCACCGAGCGGAGAAGCCAACGAGCATCAAGCCATGAAGGCAATGAGCAGTGAGCAATGAGAACAGAAGTTGAGGGGACAACAAACACGAGTGAAGCATCCGGTAGTCCTCAAGCCCTCTAATGGCCATCGATTCAGCATAGAAAGTCGGATGATCGGGTTCCTATTTTTCAAAACAGAAAACTAGACTAGAAAACATCTTAAAATTGTTTCGTGTTTTTAGTTTTTAAAAACAAATCACTGTTTTGTTGTTTTTAAAAACATGTAGCTAAAAATAAGTTGCCAAACATGTTTTTTTATTTTTAAAAACAAAAAACTGTTTGGAAAATAGGTAAACAAACAGGCCCTTAGTAACTCTTTTAATTTCTCTAAATTAGTCAACCGGGTCTTATATTATGGACTAGAGATGGTAATATAATTAATAATTAAAATTTTAATTATTATAAACTATAAAATTAAACTATTTTTGACATTTTCAATTCTTCATTGTTTCTTTTTGAAGCTATTACTTCATATCTTTACCATTACAAAAGTTGTTTTTATTTGTAAATGATATCCGCGATGTGATCATGGGACTGTCAACGCCAGTTCCCTCAACAAAGCGGGTGTGGCAATTTTGAAATAATCAAATAATTTTAAACAAAGATGATGCAAGCACGGCCAATCGACATATTTAATTTGAAATCGGCATGAACCTCAAGCCCATTTATGGAACTTTTTATTTTTATATTACATCGTTGCTTCGTTGCTAAGAGTTATTTGTCCCAAAAGGCCAAAACTAATAAATTTACCGTATATTTAAATGAGGAGAAAATTAGAGGTAAAAGAATAATAGGAAAAAAAAACTCCCAAAAATACCTTCCTAGTATTCTCTCCCTCTATTTTCTTTCCTCTTTCCCCTCCATCCAAATATAATCTTAGTCTTTAAAAATAAAAATAAAAACTTAGGTCAAGTTTCATATATCTATTATGTCAAATTCTCCAATTATGCATGACCATGTGTCTTTTTTTATTTCAATGGATTTATATTTAAATGTCATTAAATGTTAATATTTCAAAAATAAGACATATATAGTTATGTGTGATTGGAGAATTTAATATAATGAATATATGAAATTTGATGTAAGTATTATGCTTAAAAATTTAGTCAACATCTTTCTTTATTATTAGATTCCAGCATCTCTAATTAATTTTAATTTGTTATTAACCAGTAATACTACTTCAATAATAAAAAATAAAGGATCGGTCTAGATTCGGCCTTTGAGTCCAAGGTTCAGAATTCATGACAGTGTGACTCAATTAATCAATTCAGATATATTAAAAAAAATTAAATTAATTAATTAATTATAATAAATATGATATAACTGTATACTCGTGTGACAGATAGAAGAGTGTGTGTGTGTGTGTATTATTTTACCTTTTATATTTTATCATGTAGAATTCTCTTTAAAATGCATATACTTATATATTCATGAATATAATACTCCTCCGCTCCTTAATATAAGACCCATTTAACTAATTTGATTAGATTAAGGAAGTTAGGTAAGTTAGTTAATTATAAAAAATGTGACACGTTTTTCCTAAAATACTATAATCATCTTTCTTAATACCCCATCTTCCTCTTCTACTTGATTATGGTTGAAGGAATATCCATAGAGGTAATTTAGAAAAAATTGATAAATATGGAAAATGAGTCTTATATTTAGAACTAAAACCAACTCAACAATTAGATCCTATATTAAAGACCGGAGGAGTAGTAGTTTTTTTCCTTCAAGTAGAAGTGAATAAGAAAGTTAATAAGTTTATAATTGATTTGATCAAAAAAAATTTATAATTCAATTCCAATCTGAATCCTATTACTATCCTAGTGCCAACCACATTCCCATTCCCTTAAAATGAAGGGCAGCGCGTACCAAACATGACCGTACAGGGTAGAGGGAGGAGCAACGATAGCCAAAATAGTGGGAAGAGTGACAGCTAACAATAACAAAAAAGTGAGGGGAAAGAGAATTAGGATTAGGTTAATATATCTTTAAATTAATAAATCTACATTTAATTAATTTAGTTTTTTTTCTTATCTTAATGTTATTATTATTTTAAATCCTATTAAACATACAAAATGAGTATACGGAAATCTACACAATCATGTTAAATATTTTAAAAATTAAACCAGATTTTTTTATTTTCCATTTAAAACTAACTTCAAAATAACAAGATATTTAAAATATTTTGAATTTTAATTTATTTTATCTTTCATTGCAATTATTTATTTATATATATACAAATAAAATAATTATATGTGATTACATCCTTTAATTTGATTCACTTTTAAATCTCTGATTTTTTTTAATCTTTTATGCTAAATTTGACTTGTTAATAATTTAATTCTCGTTGTTCCTCTTTAAATAGCCGCTAACAATTGTAAAACCTAAATAAATTTGGAATGTTACACATGTTTTTGAATAGTTTCAAAGCCCTTACATGTTGATTGATATATAAGACCCCTTAAGCTTTTACAAGCAAGGATTAATTAAATGATAATTATACAGAGCTGCTAGAATAAAATGTCACCCTTTAGGTACAAGTGTTTGCTTGCTCATTAGGTGACATGGTCCCATCAAAGTAATTAGGTAGCTCTAGATTCGCCTGCGTTAACTTTTGTTTTTTCTCAAATTTTGAGTTGTGACTTTAAATCATGAGCTGACTCCCATGTCGAATCAGCATGCATCATTAATTTAGATCTGATGCTTCAAGAATCTTTGTTCCGTGACTCGCTCGCGAAACGGCAAAGGAAGCTTCCTTTCTCTTACTTTCGACCATTAATAATATTTTTTTTTTGCCAGCTTTTCCCCTTCTTTTTAAGTAAAGAAGCATATTCTACTCGAGCTCAAGCTAGATCTCCAACATATTTTTTTCATCTATAACCCACTATTATATACTATTTTGATATCTTTCATAACGTGTTTTTATAGAATTTGTTTATTCTAAGCTATATATAAATATGTAATCAATAATTTGTTTTATTCGAGAATTTACTAGTACTCCGGGCATATTAAAAACATAAATAACTTTCTTTTATTGCATATGTATAGCTCAAAATCGATGATTACTCAGAATATTATATGATAAGACAATGCTATCTTTTAGCACTTAATATTCTTAATAGCAAAGGATACATAGGGTCTTGGTCGATGGGTGGAGCCTAAAATCAGGTGGCTTAAACAAAAAGAGAGTTCTGGCCTCGCAAAGAATAGGGCTAAAATGTAAATTTATTTTAAAAGATTTTACTAAAAAGCGCTGGGCATTTGAAAATTTTTTTTTAGCTCAATATTGTCTTAGAAGTTTAAAATCATAATGATTTTGCCCTTTCTGTTAAAAATTTTAATGAGCAACATTAGATTTTTTATTGTAAAAAACAAAATTGTTACAATTTTAAACTTCTAGAGCAATATTAGAACCAAAAAACATTTCTGAGTGAAAATTTTGTCTTTTTCCTCTCTCTTCCCACCAAATTTGGATGGGAGAAAAATATTATGGCTATCTCGAGCATACTCCCTCCAGTTTTATTTATCAGTTTCAAATTTGAGAAAGGGTGTAATCTATTTTAGAAGCTTTAATTTGGATTTATCTCAACATCTAATGCATTTTTTTTAATGTTGCCATTATTTATTTTTCTTTTATCATATTTTTCTCCACATTCTCTTTTATCTTTTTCCTCATTTATTATAAGGTTATATTTGGAAACAAAAGAATACTTCTAGTCTACTTATTTTTAAACTAATTTTAACTAATTATTTTTTATTTATGAATCAGTTATTTCTGAAATTTGCGCTAATTGTCTTGAGGTGGGTCATACTGCTATTAAATGCTCCAGGGCGGTGAAGCTTAGAGATAAATGTCTTTCACTTTTTCCATGGGCCAAAATCAGCCCATTTAAATCTCTTATTATCTGAGGAGGCATTTGGGCTTAGTTGTTAAAGGCTCCTTGCAATGTTCAAGCCCAAATAATTCCTTAAGTCCAACCAGAGAAGGGCAATGTCATTGAAAAATTTTTCTCTCTCTAAAATATCCTTATTATGAACTTTTAAATACCAACCGAGTTAGGTTTAGTGGAAGGGACTAATCTCTCACAATGTGAAGAACTAAGATTTGAATCCCCGCTGGGAGAAGTATCCACACTTAGTATCCGACAATGCCTTGAATAGGATTACCTTCAACAAAAGGATGCCTATATTTTAGCAAAAAAAAAAACAAAAAAAACTTCCAAATCATTTTATAGCCATACATGTGTAAAAGGAAGCCATCCAACGATCTGATTAATTTTATAGCCAAGAAGCCTAAGCATAGGAGTAATCACAGTGTAGATGAGGCGAGCAAATAGAGGAATTTATATATCAATCCTCCTCAGCATGACACCCGTTTTCCCCTCTCACTCCTAGAGCTTCTCCGAACACGCACTACTGCATTTTTATGTCAGTTAAGGAAAGCTGGAAAAATGATTCAATAAGTTTCAGAGGTTCAAGTATATATATCGAGGTCGACGATTTCTTCATCGATCATCTTAGAGAGCTCTATAATGACCTTCGAGTCTCTTACCCACCTGAGCTTGACCAGCCGCTGCTTCTGCACAATCGACTTTCGAACACCTGTAGGCGCATCTTTGTGTTGCCTGGAGCAGAGGATGGTTTTGAGTTGGCATTTCGGATATTGGGGTCATCCAATAGGCTTTGGTCAAATGAACTTTTGGACCTGGGACTTCAATGGGCTAACTCGCCGAGTTGGAGCTCGTCGCACTCGTGAGGATCGAGTTATGAATGGTGGTGAACCATCGTTAGAGGCTCTGGGTTTCATCGAGCTTTCAGCCAGAAAAGCTCGGCCGGACGAGTTATGAACGATGCTCTAATATCCAAGCATCGAATGGGTAGTGCCATGATTGGAGCTTTTTTGGTTTAGGCTACTCTTTGGCTTGCTTTATGTTTTTGATTGCTCAATAGGTTCTCTTT